GGGGGGCCCCAGGGCCGTTGGGTATATTTTTCAGGGTCAAAAAACCCGTGCACACAAATTTCTACAACTTTTAGTCAATTTTTACCATTTTTAGAAAATTTGGAAAAATTGATGCACTCCAAGATGCACTTTATGCACCCACAATGCAGTTTCGATCCAGCCCCAAAGTGTAATATATAGACTTTTTTCCTGATATTTTTCCGAAGACAATGCCGAAAACCGCAACTCGATCGGTTCATCAGAAAAAAATTGCCGTATTCTGGGTGATTTTGGTCTAACTTGCCTGGACTAATTTGTGATCTGATAATGAAAGTTAAAAGTCGTACAATACTTACTGATCAGGCATCTGGTTAATGACCTGTGGCCTGTGGATGATCAGAAAAGACCTCCGCAGTGTCTGCTTCAGTGACGTAACCAGTTCCTACGAGGGAGTTCGTAAGATTGGTGCAAATTTAAATTCTCAACCAGCGCTGTCTGGGTAGATTCGATGTTCTTGGCATGTACTGCTCTGTTCGAGCACATTTCGAAAAATTTAGAGATGTCATCCTCTTGACTCTAAATCTAAATCGAGTACTAAATTTGGTTCTTCTACGGTTAAAAAGTTGTAAAGATTTTTTTAAACATTCTTTTTATAAAACGGCAATATCCAATTGCCTAGCATACATACAAACCTAGTTCATGTCACCTTTGTAGTGATAAGAAAAATATTTCGTCGATATATCGCATTTATTTAAAGTATTTCAGCCGTATCTATTCTAATTTATTTTTGAAACGTAACAGTAGTCCCCCTTGCTCAGATATGGACGTATCATATATTGCTATTATATTTACTGTAATTACATTACCAGTTTGGACTAAAAATACAAGTAAGAAAATAATTTTTCATTTTATATTTACACGGACATAAAAACAATCTTTAGATTTTTTTTCTATTCTAGTATAATTAAAATACTGAAGATATAGCACGATTATCAAAACCACACTTTTGTCTTCAAATGTTTTATCGACGTTTAACTGTAAACAAAAAAGGTGTATCTTAGATTCAATGTATTAAATATTTATATTTAAAATGTTTTTTTTACAATACGTAGTATAAGTTATACAGGGTGTCCCAGAATATCGTGTACAACGGAAGACCACAGATTCATGGACTCAAAATTGGAATTTTGAATATTTTGAGTCCACGAATATGTGATCTTAGGTATAGGTATTTGCACAAATCAACTATTTGATTACAAAACAATTTTAATATTCCAACTAAATAAGCTTCATTATTCCTAGAAAGCAATATAGTCCAGAGATATATACTTACGGTATTTTTTACACTTATAATTTTGTATTGGTATAATAAATTGTATGTTAGAGGAGGCAGCAACTGAATGTTGTTTTAATTTAAAACTGTTTCAATAATTAGTTTTGTAACACTGATGTAGAATTTTAAATTAAACTGTGACAAATATTAAATGTATTTTTATAATGAGTACATTTTAGAGGTTCTAAAGGCAATCAGATTCATTGTATATACCATTTTTGATAGTCAAACTTCAAGAGTGTATTCTACAAGTTAAACTAATAAGAAAAAACTCAAATGTTCAAAAACACCACCATTGACCTCTAAACACTTTTGAAGCTCTCCTGATTGCTGTATTTCTTTAATAAGTGCCACAATATTAAAAATAAGTCGGATTAATGCCTCCCGAGTGTTCACTATTGTACACTTCATTTTTTAACCAGCCCCATAAACAGTAATCGCTTAATATTCAAACATCGATGAATTGACGTCCGCTATTTTATTGTTAAAATGTGCAGGGGAAGATGCAGTAGAAAAAGTGTATCATCTCGTGAGTCAATTTTTTTCATTAGCAACATTGTTTTTTTTGCCGTGACGGCTAAATGTTGCTTCATCCTAAAAAGTATGAGACGATTATTATTATTATTGATCCATTGACAAAACTGATACGCTTAGCATAATCTTCCGGTTGTAGGAGTTGTACTCTCTATACAAGGTACGGATATAAATAAGTCGTGATATAATTGTTCGTGGAGGGTTTTTATTACTCTTTCTTGTGGAATGACCAATTGAGTAGCAATAGAATAGAATACTTATCGATGAGCTCGTTCAGATATTATACTAGCACTGAGAAGCTTTCCGGTTTTGCACCGTTTGTTGAAAACGCTAATAAATACATTTTTATCAGGACACAGACTGTGATGTGGAAAGAGTTGACGATATTCTTCAACAGCAGCATTAGCATTCCCTTTACAAAAACCATAAACAAACACCATATTTGCATACTCTAAATTTGAATAAGTTCTTGGCATTTTATAACACATTGATCGTACAAACGTGTAATCAAACGTTTGCAACATAAAATGACACGGACAAATCTCCTACTTTTGAACTTGGAGCATGACATACTCTGATTTAAAATTTGTAATTACGTTATAACTTGAAAACAAATGAAAATCGCATAACAACATTTGACTTTGATGTGATTCTTCCCTGTATATTTATTAAACTACAATAAACATACTTCTCTTGGGAAAATTAACTGACGCTTTATCCCAAAAGCAAAAAGTTGCACAGGTTATGGAAAAGATTAATGACCACCATGTCTCAATTTTAGGTCATATTTGTGGAAGGCCAATCGGCACGGAATTTTTGTTGGAGAATGACAGAATTGTTGCTGGATACGACGTCGGTTATTACAGATATCCCTGGTACGCTGCTCTCATTAGATACAACCAAGTAGCGTGTGGTGCGGCTCTCATAGGACCCAGGACGGTTATAAGTGCCGCTCACTGTTATAAAGAGTTTTTAGACTTATCCAAGTAAGTAGATATACCAATACTTGAGGGGTCGTACACCCTTAGAAATTCCTCTGGAAAGAAATATATCCTTTCTACCTTGTTTGGAATCTATTGATATTTAAGCACCTACCTAAGTTTCAACTACATTAAAAAAATGCCATTAAATATGTAGGTACAAGACTGCATGACTTAGAAATATATCTACACCAACTGTTTCGTGTTTCTCGTTTTCCATACAGATGTGATTCTGTTCTATCACAACTGAATGGACTCGTGATTCCACTTTTTATCTAAAAAAGTGGTGGAAACTATTATTATGCTACGAAATCGACACTTTGCTCTCCGAAGATCGTACTTACTGCGAAACTCACGTCGCGTTGGTAAATATTTTTTTTTACATTTAATTATATGAAATTAGCATAACAAAAAATTTTGATGATTGATCGACAAGTCACGACAGAGAAGTTTTCCTCGTAAAAGTAAGTATACACACATTATTAAGATAAATGGATGTTATTAAATTGTACATGAAAATAAAATATACAGCCATAATTTAAATTTTAAAGATCTTCGACAGTGAATTTAATTATCGAGCACGATGCTATGTATGTACACAATAATTTTTAGTAGTTTTGTTTAAATAACTCAGCGGAATGACTTTATACGAAAAAATGCTTAGGACATGATTTTGTTCGTAATAAAAATAGCTACAAAATGGCGGTGGTCCGATTACGAAATTTGCAATAACAAAGCCGTGAGATTGAAAAAACGGTATAAAACGCCAATTTTTTTAAGTTGCTGTAAAAATGTCAATTATAAACAAAAAGTGATAAAACTTTCGAAAACTATAGTTCAATATATATACAATAATGACGCTAAAGCCGAAAATCAGGAGAGCAAAACTTTTTGTTCTATAAGGTGTTATACATTCATCGGCATCTGAAACTCGAAACTTTGCCAAATTTGTTCGAAGCTTTGCTGACACTTGAAATTTGGTACACACATAGTGTAAATATGCAGAAACCAAAAGCAATTTGCAAAATTCAAGTATCTTCATTTTTGCAGTTTTGGTAAGGTTTTATACGTCACCCTAGTTTTATACGTCATCGTTTTTTTAATTTTTGGACGTATATTTATGTATATTTATAAAATATTCCATTACGGTAGATTAGCCAGCACAATTAACTACAATTTAAAAAATATATATTTTCATCATTTAGATCCTAAGCTACTTAACATTTTGCGCTCGTTAGCCATACTCATACATTATTCAACATATCAACATAAAACAAAAACGTAGGTGTGGGGTAAACCTTTAACTTTAAGTAAACAATTGTTTAAATTTACTGTTGCATATTTCTAATAGTATACAAGCGCCGAAGAGCGGAGTTCGCACTCGAAAATGAAAAGTTAAAGGTTTACCCCACACGTAGGATTTTGTTTTATGTTGATATGTTGAATAATGTACGACTACGGCTAACAGATGCAAAATGTTAAGTAGCTTAGGACCTAAACGATGAAAATTATTATTATTTTTTTAATTGTAGGTATTGTGCTGGTTAATCTACCGTGATGGAATATTTTATAAATATACATATATATTTTTCCAAAAATTTAAAAAAACGGTGACGTATAAAACTAGGGTGACGTATAAAACGTTACCAAAGCTGCAAAAATGAAGATAATTGAATTTTGCATATTGCTTTTGGTTTCTGCATATTTACACTATGTGTATACTAAATTTCAAGTGTCAGCAAAAATTCAATCAAATTTGGCAAAGTTTTGAGTTTCAGATGCCGATGAATGTATAAAACCTTATAGAACAAAGTTTTGCTCTCCTGATTTTCGACTTTAGCGTCATTATTGTATATATATTGAACTATAGTTTTCGAAAGATTTATCACTTTTTGTTTATAATTGACATTTTTACAGCAACTTTCAAAAATTGACGTTTTATACCTTTTTTCCAATCTTTACGGCTTTGTTATTGCAAATTTCGTAATCGGACCACCGCCATTTTGTAGTTATTTTTATTATGAACAAAATCATGTCCTAAGCATTTTTTCATACAAAGTCGTCCCGCTGAGTTATTTAAAGAAAACTACTAAAAAAAATTTTTTTCACGATTAAATTGTTAATAACTTTTTTCCTGATAAAATACTTGGTCAGCAAATTAGCCTGCTATTGTACTCATCATTTAAGGTATTCCTGTGTAGTTATTTCCGAGTTATCAAGGAATTGTCACCAACAGTAACTTTTCGGCCTCTGCCGACTGGACTAAATTAATAAACTGTATTTACGTTTATACTTTCAGGAGAGGCTATTTAAGACTGGAATTAGTTTATACTGTTAAAATGGGTGTTTACAACATATGCAAAACGGAACGCAGTCAGAGGGAGTACAAGATAGAAAAGGTTCAAATTCATGATTTGTACTACACCAAAAAGCCGTATTATGACATTTCTATATTAACCTTAGCAGCCGAAACCAATGCATATATGCCAATTTGTCTACCAGATTTCGGTAAGAATATTCATTTTTATCTAAAGTTTTGTGGGAAACGACTACTCTGCGTACTATATGCCCTGCTAAAATCACACCAGACTTATTCATAAAGAACTTTTTTCTTGAAATCACATTTCCTGTCTCCTACTTCAGTTTTAGCACTATACAGGGTGTAACTAAATAAGTGTAAAACATTTAAGGGGGTGATTCCTCATCGAAAAAAAGATAGGATCTTTCATATAAAGAAACTTCATTGGAGCATCCCTTGTTAAGATACAGCCCCTTAAAGGGGGTACATAAAATTTGTTTAACAATTTTTTTCACAAGCACTAAACAAGTTACAATATTGAAATTAACCTGACATTTTCTACTACCAAAAAGACACTTAGCCAGTAATTTATTTGGTTTACCCCATGGTTGTAAGGGGTGGAAAACGCAACCCCTAAAATTTATTTCCAACGTAATTTTTTGTCTTATTATTTTTTTACCATTTAAAAATTTATTTCCGATAGCCTGTTTCATTCTAAAAAAAAATGTCTCTTGAATTTTTTGCCCAAATTAAACCAGTTCGCAGCAAAAAATTATTTTACGAACAAGATACATATCGCCATAAAACGAAAATACGAAACTAATTTATCTAGTAGGCCGCCATTAGCGATACTGACAATTAAATTGGAATCAAGCTGTCAGTTTGTAAATTTTTGAAATTGAAGTAATACTAATTGTGTATTGTTCTGTTCTTAATTTGTTACTTTAATAATTCACTTGTTATTAAAATGGCATACACAAATGAGGAAATGGCTGATATGCATTACGTTTACGGTCTGTCGCAGGGGAATGGGTTAGAAGCTTCTACAAGATATGCTGAAATGTATCCTCAACGGCAGCATCCTTCACATAGAATATTTGTCTGACTTCATCAACGATTACGTGAATATGGTTCATTCAACAAAAGAACGCAGGATTGTGGTCGCCATCGAGAAGTAAGAACACCACAGCTTGAGGCAGCAGTACTTAATTTGATAGAAGAACAACCTACTACCAGTACTAGAAAGATTGCTTTCCAGCTAAATGTTGATCATATGACGGTATTTCGAATTTTAAAGGAACATCTCTTATACCCTTACCATCTGCAACGAGTACAGGCACTGTTACCGCGAGACTTTCCGAACCGTCTTGAATTTTGCAATTGGATGCTGGAAATGATTAGAAGAAATCGTGACTTTCTGAAGACGATCGAATTCACAGACGAATGTAGTTTTTCTCGGGACAAGATTATTAATTTTCATAATTACCACATATGGGCTGATGAAAACCATCACGCTATTGTCGAAACTAACCATCAAGAACAGTTTTCTCTTAAGGTGTGGGTCGGAGTTATTGGGGATTATTTAATTGGGCCTCATTTTCTACCTCCTCGATTAAATGGTGAGGCATACGTTCAATTTTTAAGAAAAGTGCATCCCCCCGTACTGCTGGAGGAAGTTCCTTTGGGCGTCAGAAGGGATATGGTTTTTATGCATGATGGGGCTCCCGCCCATTTTAGTCAAGTAGCACGTCAGCATTTAACTGAAACATATGCAAATCAGTGGATAGGTCGAGGAGGACCACAGAATTGGCCCGCTCGATCCCCGGATCTCAATCCTCTGGATTTGTCTACTTGGGGCCATTTGCAGCATTTGGTTTATCGTACTCCTGTTCGCGATGTAGAGGACTTAAGAAACCGCATTATCGATGCGTGCAGGGTAATTAGAGAGACTCCAGGAATATTTGAGCGAATACGTGGCTCAATGCGCCGACGTCTAGACGCATGCGTAATGTCTGAAGGTAGACATATTGAACATTTACTATGATTTCTACATGTTGTATGTTTTGTTATTATTAAATTAGTTTTGATTATTCCCCTTTAATCATTTAATGCAGGTAGTAACTACAAAATAACAGTAAATCCAGTCCGCATTTATGACGATGTATCTCTGTAGTTGTTCGTAAAATAATTTTTTACTGCGAACTGGTTTAATTTGGGCAAAAAATTCAAGAGACATTTTTTTTTAGAATGAAACAGGCTATCGGAAATAATTTTTTAAATGGTAAAAAAATAATAAGACAAAAAATTACGTTGGAAATAAATTTTAGGGGTTGCGTTTTCCACCCCTTACTACCATGGGGTAAACCAAATAAATTACTGGCTAAGTGTCTTTTTGGTAGTAGAAAATGTCAGGTTAATTTCAATATTGTAACTTGTTTAGTGCTTGTGAAAAAAATTGTTAAACAAATTTTATGTACCCCCTTTAAGGGGCTGTATCTTAACAAGGGATGCTCCAATGAAGTTTCTTTATATGAAAGATCCTATCTTTTTTCCGATGAGGAATCACCCCCTTAAATGTTTTACACTTATTTAGTTACACCCTGTATTTCTAAAAACCCTATATATTCAAATTTTGAAATCGGAAAAATATTAATGTACAAGGTGTTCTGGAAATATTACTTTAATAACATAAATATCTTGTAAATTTTTAAAACAAAAAAAATTCCATCAAAATCCTTTTACTATTAGAAACTATTTCGTCTTCAAAATTTTCATAAGTTACTTAACTTTTAAGGAAAATAATTAAACTTCTCCCAGTAGTATTCGAAATTTAAAAAATTACTGAAACAACTTATTGTATTTTTTAGTAAGAGGTTCATGTTAATTTCGATAGCCTTAGTTTTTTTGAGTTGATAGTGCTACTTTTAACAAATATAGATGCATATAAATCTGCGTTAAGCAGAATGGATGCCATTTTATTTCTGTTACGATATAATGATCAGTTTATTTTGCATTTTTTGTTTAGGTATAGTTGTTGCAATTTTTAGCTTACTATTAAAAAATGCATTAGATATTTCAATGATTTTACAAACTTCTGGGAAGACATTTAATTATTTTACTTGAATATTAAACAAATTTTAGCAGAAAGAATTTCTAAATAAGAACTAATTGATGGAATTTTTTTCTTTTCAGAATTTACAAAGGTAAAATGGTCCAAGAAATAAGAAAGAGGTAGATTTTTTTACCCACTTATTATAAACCAAGAATCAGGGAATTAATATTTGGTAAGTATTTAGTTTTTCTCACTTTCGTGGTTTTTAAGAAACAAGAAATTAAGTTTCATTTTACATTGAACACCCTGTAACTCTGTAGGGTGTGCTTCAATTAAAATTAAAAGCTTTAGGTACATATAAAGTTGCCTTTCATAAAAGGCAACAGGTAAAATTCGTCAAGGAAATCACATTTTTATTTTTTGCACTCATTTCTGGTTCACCTTGTATAGTAGGTATGACTCTTCACGTACTTAGCCCGATACAAATAAAGGTTTGCTAGATGCACCGTAAAATCGTTTCAAAAGCGTAAATAAATATTAGGAAGCACAGACCTTCTACAGATATGTAGGTATATGTTTTTCTTTGCAGTTGTAAGAAATAAACCCAACGAAGGAACTGTACCCGGACTGGGAACTTTAAAGTATGCAGGGGCGATGCCGTGTACAGTCCACGAAGCCAGACTTTTAATTTACAACGACACAGAGTGTTATAATATGATTAACAGCACCGGAAATAACCCCAAAGCTATTAAAAACGCCTTTTGCGCGGGTTACGAACAAGGCGGAATTGACACCTGTCAGGTAATATGATTTCCATTGTTGAATTTAAGGTTATTATATGTATAATTTGATTTGACAAATTCACAGTATTACTGTGGTTTTCATACTGATCTTATTACTGTGGTTTATTGTTTTCATCAGTCTGACAAGTTAAAAACAAAGGCCTTCCTGTGTAGCATTGCAGAATTAATGGAGTTATTATAATTTATGGCAAAGCAATGTAACAGTAGCTTGTTGTTTATATATAGAACGTTTTCCGGGTAGAGAGGTGTCAAAAGCTACTAGCTTTAATATAATGTGGTGGTTTAACAAGGCGTTTTATGAAAAAATTGCGGCCGAAACTGAGAGAAGGTGAAGATTATGGAAAACTCTAAACTCTTTTGTTACATTACATTTTCTTTAATTGTTTCATTGTGAATCCAGTAAAAATAGATTTTTTCTAAAATCAATTTTTTTTTTAAATTCCAGCCCTGTAAATTAGCCAAAATGACAGTTTTAATGTAGATGGAGCTATACCTATTCGCAATTAAAGCCATGAAATACTATTTTATGCTCAATTTTCAGTTTTAGTTAAAATTGGTCATCCAACAAAAGTGTGACAAAAATTCAAACACACAGACGCAATAGTCCATTTGTCTACTTTTAAAATTCCCAGTTACATTAAGAAAATGCATACAGAGCGAATTATTTGATTTGAACTCTTTTAATTAATTTTATTAAGACAGGTCGTAGAATTTGTGAAGGTTTAATCAAAGTATAGTATCACTAAAAAAGTAGAGTATTTGAACAAACTGTTCGAATAATGTTTCGAAAAAAAAAATTGGTCTAATTCCACAAATTGACAGTAATAAGAAAGGGGAATAAACACATTTTAATGGTCAATCGATAATAAACTCCATATACGGTGAAGTATGTAAAATGACACCCTCTAAAGTCTCTTTAGCGTCTAAAGATAAGTATATTCTTCGATTTTCATTAGTTCCGGTTGTTCTTCACTTCACTCTATTTCAATAACCAAAACTATGTTCTTAGTTTATATGAACCATTGAATTAACTGGTTTTATATCTAACTATTGTCCCATCACAAGCATTTAACTTGTGAATTCTTTCCTAGAAAGAGGTTATTCCAAGTATTTTCCCTATCTGGACAATAAACTTATTTGATGTATAATTCATGATTGAATATTGTTAGTTATTTTCTTAAATCTATTAATGTATTTTACTCGTGAATAAACGTGATGCATAAAAATAATTTGTTTTTCTCTTGGTTCATTTAGGGGGATAGCGGTGGACCGCTACAAGTGGTTAATTCAAAAGGAGACTATGTTTTACTAGGTATGTACCTACTTACCTGTCTATAATTTTTCCTTAAAACTACTGTTTCCCAAAAAAAAAATGAGGTAAAACCTAAATTTTCTGGTATTAAAAAGGCGCAATGTTGGGAACTACTATTACAATTAAATTTTAGTTTTTCTTCTTAATTTACTTCTCTGTTAACGAGAATAAATTTGAAATTGATGTATTTTTTATTATTCCCAAAGGAATTGTCTCATTTGGCTTCCACTGTGCCGTTCCCGGAGTTCTGGGAGTATACACCGACGTTTCAAAATATCTCGATTGGATACAGGACAAATCCGGGCTGGACGCCGGAATAGTCAGTTTAATTTACAACAAACCGTCCACTTCTAAACCCACTGCGATAAGCGTTTCAGATATAAACAAAGGCGAGTATAATCTTTGTTCGCTAAAGAATACATGTCGCTAATATATTCATTTGACCTCAAAAAGTCTGTGGTGAACACAGAATTTGGTACAGCCTGTATAATTTGTATACGTCATCCTTACCGGCGCATTCGCCATAACTTACACTTCCACAGATCGGTATTTCAGGCACAGGGAGCTATTACAGTTTCCTGCGATCGAAACGAACAGAGTGCAGATTCAACTAAACCTACGTTTATCCTATGTTACTCATCTAGCCACTAGAGGGCTCTAAATGAGATTAAATGGGACCTTTTTTTTCGAGTAACTATGAGAAACACCTTGTATTACAGTTTCCTGCGATCAAAACGAGCAGAGTACAGACGCAACTAAACCTACGTTTATCCTATGTTGCACGTCTAGCCGCTAGAGGGCGCCAAATGTGATTAAATGGGACCGTTTTTTTCGAGAAACAATGAAACACCTGGTAAAATTTTAAAGAAATTTAATTTATTATTAGTACACTGATTATTAAGACCAAGTAAGGATTGACGCTTACCCACAAATTTTGGGATCATATTTATTTTTTGCCTTCCGATGAACTGAAACATTTTACTCTTAAAGTGTTTTTCTTTGTTTTCCATGCTCCCTGACGCACCAACTATTCCAAAAAAGATAAATCTCTTATGACAACTAAGATATAAAATAGATAGAAATAGTAAATACAAGTCACAGTATCTTATAATGAGGCTAGGATTTTTTAATTATGTTTCATAGAGAATATTATTTGCAGCCGCGGATTATTTCATTTGAGGTAACTATTTGATTTGTACTGTTATGCTTTCACTAGTAAAACTTATATTTGGCTCTGGCTTTTGGCTCATAATAAGAAAAATAAGTATTTGAAAAATATTAAATGCTCTCGTAAATGTAATTGTTTAGGTCTAGAGTAATTAAAGAGTAAAACAATAAAACACTACATGAGCAGTTCCATGACAATTGGAAAGCAGCTTTTTTAACCACAACCATAACCTCAATGTTTTCTATTTGAAAATAAGATAAAATTTTAAATACAAGGTTGATAACTGAACATCTGTCGCTACTCAGACTCTCTCTTGAGATGACTAATATCAGAAATTGATCATTCAGGGTTCATAGTTCAAAAGTAATAAAGAATTCCCTGACTTTCCCAGGTTTTCCCTGACTTATAAAAAAAAATCCAGGTCACTTGTAGTTCATTTTTACATACTAATTGGTATTTATGCATTAAATTTTTTCTCGACCGGACTTCTTAATCTTTTTTATACCCTAACAACCTCTTATAAAGGTTTCAAAAAGTTTTCTCTTTCAAGAACCCAGAGCCGGTTTTCACAAAATTTCCAGTTGCAAACATTAAATTCCCTGACTTTCATGAATATTTTTAAAATTCCCTGACTATTCCCCGTTTTTTATGAAGAATAACAAATTCCCTGACTTTTCCCGGTATTCCCGGTTTTCCCGGCCGCTATGAACCCTGATCATTCTACAATTTTGTTGAAATTAAAGCTATCGGTAGGTAACTATCTCTATTTTTTTCTAGGTCCACATCGTAGAAAACACCATCATGGAAGACCATATCGAAGACCCTTAAGGATAGTAGTTTTAAAAAACAAACGATTGGTTGCCAAAACTAAATCGGTGTTACATCGTCCAATAATTAGAAACGATTGAAACCGCGATATTCTACAAACAAAAACGTCAGCTTCAGTTCTGCTATTTTAACTTTTACCTACTTACCTACTTTTAATAAAAATAAATAGTTCATCTCCATCTCTCCGTGCATTGCTATTTGTTATTTTATGTTGAGGATGAATCAGATTTAATGTTAAGTCTATGAGGATTTAATAACACTTTTGAAAATAGGTACGTGATTTCTACCTAGGTCTTCACTAGGTACACAGCAGATTTTTTTTTAGTTGAAGTACCTACTAACTGATCAAGACGCTTTAAGGCCGTCAATATACACGGTGATTCACAGCATATTTGTAAAAAAAATTCAGAGGAAGTTCCCTTAAAACCGTGGTCAGTAAGAAATTAAATGCACCCTCGGACTGCCTCTACGTATAACAAATTGAGCATTATTTTCCAGATAATTTCATACGAACGAAAAACTTGATTTCCAATGTCATTGGAGCTGAAAAAGGTACAAAATAAAAGTCATTTTCTGTAGAAAAGGTTTTATTGAGATTTTGATATACCCTACAGCTATTTGTGAGTTAATTACGAAATTTTGCACAAAAGCTAAAATATAAATTAAAAATAAACTCTTATATTACAAACGTAAAAAAAATTAAACCGGCGAAGTCATTAAATTACGGTTTTCAATAGAAATATCTATTTACTTTCTCAACAAAAAATTTCATATTAAGATAAGGGAGCGAGTAACATTTACCAATATTATGGTGTCTTAAGAAAGTGTATGTATTACTATTTATCTAATAAATATTTTTATCAAAAACCAAATAAATTGAGGCATAACCATGCTTCTTTCACCAACACTTAAGTCAGGCCATTTCAAAAGTTCCCTGAAGTGTCCCTCACATAAATTATTCGTTATATAAAAGGTGTTGCAATATTATGCCTATGAAAATTGAAGTCGATTGTTATAAAAAAAATAAAAAATTCATACAAATATTTCAATGTTTAATTTTTGAGATACAGGCATATGTTCTTTATTAAAGCTAACCAACACAACACATAAATAGAGAACATGCTTCACAGTTTATTGAATTTTATCCAAACAGTGAAATATATGAAAAAAGAAATACGAATTTACTACAGCCGAAAACACCCAAATTGTCACAAAATTTTTCCTTCCCATATTTATTTGAGGACGGTCAAATAAGGTGTTCGAGAAAAAGGTTTTCAAAAAAAAATATATTCAAAATCAGAACCTGTACACTCACACAAACACGTTAACACTAGCAACTAGTTTTTTCTTTCTATAATAAAAAGAAGTTGGCCATGATTAAAAACAAATGCATTTCTAAAGCGAATCCGATACCATTTCTGTACACAGATGGCTATGGAGAAAAACAAATTCATGCAGTCGGCGACATGCCAAAATTTCGACGTCGGTGGAATATTGCAACACTCCGTATACATTTCTTAACTTCCGCAAGCTGCAACCGCAACCAAACCTCCACTTACAACTTATCGCAACAATAAAGCTCGGTACTGATTACACTATTTATGTATCGTTGAAACATTTACAAACATTATAAATATTCAGTAGCAAATTATGTACATTTTTTTACACTTTGTAATTTGAGGGCATTACATATTGCAATGATATGAACAATGACTGCAAAAAACCACGTGAGCTCCTGTGACAACGAATAATTTTAATAAATAACATGGCTGGAGTTTTTGGTACATGTGGACGAGATGGCTTCCTCCAAATTGCTGTCTAATTTGTGGTAATTAGCAGAATTGGGTCTCCGGCCCCTGACCTGCCTCTTTCCTCGCTTTCCTTCAAGCATCAACGCCATGACCTACAGCAATACATGGATATAAAGGGTCTCCCATTAAATATTTTCAAATATTAAGATAATGCAAACTTGAAGACTTTTATGTGCGCAACCTTATAAATGTACTTGACTCATTTCTTGATCAATCTATTGGGTAAAAATTAGTAAATGTTAAACAAGTTTAAAAAATGTTCCCAACCATCAAAATAAACAATTTCATAAATACTCTAAGATTCTTCAAATGTAAGATGTATGTTTTTAATAATGCATTTCTCAAAAACAGTTTAGTCAAACTTGGTGCAACTGAAAAGAAATCTCTCTGATTTGGGTAGGTTAAAAAAAATTGTACTAGAACAAAAATTCATCGAATCAACCCTTGCACCAGAAATATCAGTCGATAAACAGTTATACACCAAATTACAATTACCTTCTGCCTATTATGATATCCAACATATCCTAGTACGAAGAGAACGCAGATGACCATGAAATACGAAAAGAAATAAGATTCTCCATCCAGTTCCTCTGCGGTGTTATAATTGGCCGGCATTTCTTCTGCCAAAGTGTTCGGTTTCTCTTTATCCTTTTGCATTGTAAGTGCCTCCTTTAACTTACCATTTTTGTTCACTTGTGTACCTTCCTCTGACTTGTCTAAAAAATCAACGTCTTAAAAGAAAAATTGGTTTGGCTTTATTTAAAATCAAATATACTAATATTTATACCAGACAGTATAGTTAATCATAAAAATATATTTATTATATTAATTAAGTTAAGTAGAATCAACGATGTATTCACGAAAATTATCGACAAATCCAGTACGTTTAATAATACCTAGCGGAAAAGATTTTCTAATTATATAAAAGCCGTATCCTTATTTTACTTCATACAAAGGTACTTCAGCAAAATTAAAGAAGATAAAACGCTTTTTATAATCATACTTGTATATTATTAATTTCACTTACATGATAAGGAAAGTAAACTGTAACTTGGTCCCATACTTCACATGCCATTATTATATTTTGTGGCATTCCTATGTATCGGTATTTATTTAAATTAGCTTTTAACGTAGATATGAATTTAAAAGCTATCATGATAATATTTTTAACAATTTCTCCACGAAGTGCAAATAAAATTTAACTATTATCAATGATTTACATTTAATGTCTGTATTTTTATAATCATTTTTTTTAAGTTCATTTAATTTCCAATCATTTGATTATTATACACATATATATAAAAAAGCATTTCGAGATAATATTCTCATAACACTTTCATGTTTATCTTTAACATTAAAAATAAAATTAAAAGAAAACTTAATTTCTGATTACACCTAGCTTAATGAAAGTTATTTGTGTTATTAATGATTTATGAAAGCTATTGTTTTATCAAAATAAAAATTATTTTTCTCAGAACCATTGTTTTCTGTTTACTCACCAAAGTAACAAATATTGTAAAAATAATATGATAAATATTTACAGAATGAATTCCAGGAAAATTTTGGGGCTAAAATATGTCTTAAATTAATGAATGCATAATGAAATTCTGACTACTTGAAATAAATCATTTGTAACATTTAAGACAAAATTTAACACATATTTAAGATAATTTAAATTTAGCAGGCCAGTAAAATATTATAATTTGGGTTGTCAGAATTTGCTGTGAAATTTATTTTCTTGCCGCACTTATATAAAAAAGAAGAAAAATTTACTGGTTCATTAACTTTAACACTGGACAAATCACCAACCGAAAAACAAAATTTTTTCAATCCTAACTATGCCTAATTGTGTTCACCATTCGTTTACGAGAAATATGTTTTTACTGTTGAAAAAGTAAATTACATTGAGCAAAACGTTGGGACATAATTTTTTCTGAGAATGGATATGATTGGCAGCGTAATATTTTTATAATATTTAACTAACATATTTTTATTTAACAGACCTTTGAAACTATAAAATTCAACCATCTTTATTGAAAACGGAGTCAATTTCAAATTGAAGTTATGACACCAACATTAAATTGTTTGTGAGGTTTTTTATATGATTTTAGGTCTTCTAAACTTTCTAATATGCATCATGAAATAAAAAAGTGTTCTTTTACACGTATGTTGATATACCCTGTATACTTAAATTTAAGTGTACAGATATACCAATTAAAATAAAACTTACAATTACCGTCACTGCCTTCCTCATTCAAATTTTGTGCATCTACAGGATCTATGTCATCGACTTCATTTTTGTTACCGTCACCTTGTTTTGGTTCACCCTCTGGAACATCTGGTTGGTTTTCACCCAAATTTTTTTCAGTATTTGACTGTATTTGAGATTGTTTCTCAAATTCTTCATCAGAGGGAATCTCATTTGTAACCTGAGTCGCATCATTAGCCTCAGTTTCTTTCTTAAAATGAACCTCTTCCTTAGCCTTAAGCTTCGCCTTAGTTTGAGATTCATCATTAGCTACATTTAAATTTGCAGAATTCTCATTATTGGCAGCCACAGGATTTGAATTAGCAACTAGTTCTGAATCTTTTACGTTGTCAGGATCTGATTTAGGGACATTTATATTTTCTAAACCATTATTTGAGGTGGACTCTGGATTTTTTTTAAGCATCGCATTGTCTCCATTTTTATCACTGTCCTGCTTAACAACTGCGTTATTATTTGGTACCTGATCAGCCTTAGGTTTAGGACTATTATTATCTGCATTAAGGATCTCTTTTGTTTTTGGTGATTCTACCTCAATGTTAAGTGCATTACCTATCGAATCAGAATTAACTTCCTTAGGATTAGATTCCAACTGTTGCAGATCTGGTTTAATGGCTTTTGTTGGTGAAGAAACATAGTTAGCAAAGTAGTAAGCTAGGCTACATTCATTTACTAGAGTTCCGTCAAAATTTTGACATAATTTGTAACAAATACCTTCAGTACTGATAATTTTATCTACATTATGTTTAAATATTCGGCTGGCAGGAAACAGAGATGAGTTTTTACAAACACTTTCGGCCTTATAATCTTTTACGTCAGGCACTAAATTTATTTTATTGAATGTTTTTTTAGTATTTATTTCGTCGCAAAATGAAATGAATGCATCATAATACAGTAAACATAACACATTCTGTGCAGATTCATTTGTTAGGGTTTTAGTTTCACTAATCTCCTTCCAAGTTTTACATTTGTTAAAGATGTCTTGGTTTTTAAAAGATTTTTCGTTCATATTTAGGATTGGGCAATTTTTCACAAGTACATCATAAAAATTTTCAGGTGGCAAATTCTTTGCGTTTAAGGTAACTAATCCTAGTAGTAAGTAAAGTATTGCCGAAAGGGCCATATCTTTTTGCACAATTAGAATTTCGAGAATTATTTCATACCTCAGAACATTACCATATACTAAAAACAATAATTAAATATTAAGTACCTACTTATATGATTACATAAAATACATTTTTCTACTTACTAAGTAATTTCTCTATATTCTTAGTATTTTCTTTCTAACAAAAATTATCACCACGAGACAAAAATGTTTTATATGCGTGAAATCGTGAAAAAATTCTCTAATGACTGACTTCTGACTAGTGATTACAAGAAAAATAATATGATATGGTGAAACCAGGCGAGCATGTCAACAATATACCAAACGTTCAAAAGTGCAGTTGTTATTGTTGTCAATAATGCAAATAAATAATAGAAATTTTACAAATATTTCCAATTTTCATAAAATTTCGTTGCATAAAGTATTGTGTCACTGTCATTGCAAGTAAGAAGAAGTACTAACTAGAAACAGAACTACTAGAAGTAGATACATTTTACGGTATTGCCGCCAGTACCTGACCTATCACAAATCACAAGTCTAGAAAAAAGTCTTGATCGCGTAATCGCGTATCAAACGTGCTACAGTACCAAAAATGGTCGATTTACTAAGTGCTACTGAATTCATATAATATAAATATAAATGATGTTTGTTGGCCGGTGCAATTTAAAATTCGAACCAGAGAGACTAGACTCTAAGATCACGAACATATAAAAATTTGACAGTCATAAAACACGAACTTACTTACAGTTTTTACCGCTAGGGTCGCTAGTGTTCCTTGTTCAACGATATATTTTTATTAAATATTGATTTATTTATGTAATTTAGAGTAGCCTTTATAATTTATTTTAAAATTTGTATCATTTTTATTTTAATTCAAACTGCCGCTTTCTTTATCTCTATTCTACTATTTTGGTGCATATGGGACACTAGCGCCCTCTTATTTGGTAAGATATTTATTTACATGGAGTTCGTTCGTACCCTTGTGTAATTTGTAGTCTCCATGATTTTTTTGACCTTCACCTACATACTTGAGACTTGAGCACAGAATATAACACATATTATAGCTGCTTCCCTTTTGCAGGCAACTGAGTACATATTACACGTGAGGTGAGTGTACTCACATCAGTTGTTTCTGTTCTGATTCATCTTGTAAAAGGAACGATCATATGAGTTACATATAAATAAACCATATAAATGCGAAATATTATTATTGAAAATACGTTATCATAATACTTACTTATTATTTGCAACTTTTAGCTTTTAAAAACAAACCTAATCGTGCCTAATCTCACTTTAAATAAATGAGCACAAAATGAGCCAAGTGAACAAGCTCTCAAACTAATGCAGATAGCAGTAAGTGGGGGTAAAAATTCTCAATTCAAACCATAGAAAATATAGTACTAACGTAGAATGAAATGTCCCTAATATTGTCACTAAACCGCGAAACAGCGCCACGTAACGTTTTGGAAGCTTACTACTACTTAGCCCCTAATGAGTAGGCAACACTTTATACTTTGTGAACTGATTACAGCGCCATCTATCGTATGGAAACGACTTCTCACTTATATCCTCTATATTATATTATTTTAAAAGTAAACCCTTATACAAATAGGAATAGTCAAGTGTCAATACTTTTGAGAACAGATTATTTAGTTAAACAGAAAATGTAGCGAAAAACTAATATTCAGTACTTTTCTAATTCACTTCTGCTTTGATAACGAAACTAGAGGTTTCATAAACGTCAGTGTTATTGTGATGTGTATTTGTTTTTCCAGTGCGTAACCAGACTTATACATGTAGATGTATGTCTCTGGCATCTCACTATTAGGCAAAAGTTTTCAGTATTGACACTTGACTGTCCCTATCGGTACAAGGGTTTATTTTTCCAGTTTTTTTTTCTTCAAACTATGGCAAAATATCCAAATTATAACATTTATAATGCCACAAATAAATACAGACAATTTCTTATTTATTATTTTATTATATTATAGTATTTTTCAAATTTTGACATTTGCCAAGATATACTTAGTAAATGGTTTCGATAAGGAAATAAAACATTTTTTAATAATTTTAAGTTTATTTTGTATCTACAAGAAATCCTAATTGATTTATACAGAATGTTGTTATGCATGTACTATTAAAACAATTTCTTGTTATGTATTTAATTGTAGGTAAAAACGACAACGATTTAATTCATTTGCTTCATAAACTTGATAAGTTGGTAAGTAAGCTGTAAAAATATAAAAATTATGCATGAACTGTTATAATAATCTCACGGAGATAGGTATACACCTAACCGAATATTTGTACAATATTGGGTTAAATTCAATAGTTCATATAGTTTGGAACTTTCAAACCTTAATATTAACAGTATATTTTCTATGTCTCAAACTGAATAAAGAAACCAATTCACCACCATTAAAAATTTTGTAAGCATCTAAGTATCAAAGGTTTTATAAAATATTAGTTGGAGTTTATCATCATACACATAATTATTTTTATCTATATTTAACTTAAATAATATGTAATTTCAAACATGCACATTTTATGTGGACTGTTTCTAATCGATTAATACAGGTAACATGAGTATGAGTGTTCCACATAATGTTGGTAAAGATATAGGTTTGGTTTTTAATAAAATATAACTTAAAACTTACACATCGTATTCCCAGTATAATATAATAACAAATAGAAAACTCTTAAGCACTAAATAATTATAAACACAATTCTTGCAATACTAAGAAACCAAATACAGAATTATATTCTGTGCCAAAGATAACGAAAGCCAAACTTCAAATACGTGCAAAGTCCAAACTGCATTACCAACCAACCCAAAATGACAGGGTTAGCATTCTCTGCGCCATCTTTTATTTTGGAAGCTAACTAACATGTGAAGCCGCCATGACAGTTTCATTATTCATATGTTAGATTTCATTCTACGTTAGTACTATATTTTCTATGATTCAAACTCACTTCGGAAAATTGAAAGAAACGCACAATTAACTGAGTCATGACGTCACATGTGATATTAATGTGATTTTTCTTGCAAAAGGGAAGCAGTTTATAATTCTGTGAATTGAGTGCATAGACTTGAGTGTTGACTGTGAATTGACATTTTAACTTTAACTTTGAGGTTATATTTTTATATGATTTGCATTTTGCAGTTTGTCATTATTTAAGTGTGAATATCACGGTGAAACCAGTAAATTATATTTTTACTTCAATTCAAAATATGGCAGATTATTTTTCTGAAATGGGTTGGGCGCCACTGGGCGAGGGAGAAGCTCCAAATCATTTATTACATTTAGCAAGATTATTTAGAGACTATAATATGTTTGAGGAATTAAATGTGTTGAACGGCGAGAGACTACCACCTCCAGCGTCGAAAACTGTAGTTGAAACCCTGCCTAATGAGCAAGTATCAGAATTGGGTACAACTACTTATATTTTATAGTTCGTGTGTATATGGTTAATTTTTTAGGTTCACAATGTCCCATTTGTTTAAAGGACCATGTTATTGGTGAAATAGCAAAAAAGTTACCGTGCAAGCATTTATATCACAATGACTGCATCATGCCTTGGCTTTCTAAAGTAAGGAATTAATAAAAAATATATCCTGTTTCGTACATTATATTGTCAATTTTAGAATTTCTGTTATGCTTGATAACTACCTGATAATAATATTTTCAGACAAATTCTTGTCCTCTATGTAGATACGAGTTGCCTACTGACGACGAAGACTATGAAGCATGGAGAAAAGAAAAGAAAAGGGCTAAGGAGAGAGAGGCAGACATAGAAAATCTACACAACTCTATGTTCTCTTAGCACATTCCTGGCCTTTAATAATATCTCAAAAAGGTTTTTAGCACAATATAATTAAACTAAATATGTTTGAAAAATGTTGAGCACCATTCCTCTCATTAATAAATATATAAATTTCATTATACTTATTAATACCTAGTAATTTTTTGTTATAAACATATAAGTATATGGGTGTGTAGGACTTAGATAATATATTTTGGATAAATTAATGTTTCTTATTACCATTTCATGATGAAAACTGAGTTTGAAACTGATCTGTTTGGTGATTCTGCTAACGAATAATCTTTAGCTCTTTGGGGATGATTTCTATAGTCACGGAGATTTATTATAATTCGCATTAATAAAACTGCAAATTTCACATTTAATTTCCTCAAATACTCCTAAAATAAAACGATAATGTTTTTTACATCTTTTATTAATAAAAAATACATTTAATCATATATCAACATTTAATTTGGACATCAGTCAATTTTTTTGTTCTTTTTTACAGTGAATCAGCGTACGCAACTAAATATACAAACCGAGTGCGTTCTTTTCGTCATTTTAATCTGATGGAATTCTGTAACTATTGGTTTATTTGAAATATTCTCATTTTAGACTGGCTCTACAAAATCCACCATATCGAAATGAATAAAGGAACATGACCATAGTATCGCACTGTATCACATACGTGGATAATCAGTAATCAGTCTTCTTCCATAAAATTGTAAATATGTATATTGTTTAAAACTGTTAATGGTAACACAGACAATATCGCTACGCAAAAGCTATTTTGTCTGTGGTAGAATATCACTTTCCCAAATATTCAGTATAAAAACACTACATTCAATTCGATTTTTGACCAAGAAAAAACGCAATAAATTGATTCTGTTATTTACTAAACAAGGACTAGTATAAGTATAATAGCTCTTCAGAAATGAGACTGGAACGAAAACTACAAGGAATCAAAATTGTTCACTTGAAATACTTTAATTGTCATCAAAAAAAAATCTAATGCATCGATGTTCAATATTTGCGACTATGAAAAACTTATTATAAGCCGAGTTTGTGTGTTTTATTTACCCGAGATTTCGGGTAATCTCATGATTGACCAATTTGGGGGATCTTTACAGTTAACTGATCAACCCACTCCGGAGCTACTTGAAGGGATTAGAGGATTTGATCCTGACCGCTTTTTAGTCCCGATTAAGTTTTTCTGATCCTGAGATTTTCGGGATTGACATCATTTTAAAAAAGTTGCAAAATAGACTGCGTCAAGCAAAACGCTCAGTGCCAGTGTTCTCATTTTCATTGGATTACTTGGTGATATACTTCATTTTTGTATTTTTGAATTTTTAATACTATTTTTAAATACTTTTTGCTAAGAAACTTACTTTACTACCGACTTACTAGGTTGTTACATGAAAGTCGTCTAGTTGATGTTAACAGAGATTTTTGTTAATTTTCAAAGTTTATTTGCATAGTTTGTTGCATAAAAGTTTTTACAATTTATGTAAGTTTAGAGATCTCATTGATTCTTGAAAAAGACCCGTTAAACGTATTTCAAATGAACACACACAGATATACATTTTTAGATAATACAAAATGTTTTACCTCCGAGTAAAAATTGTTTCTAATGTTAGTAGTGTCATAACAATTGTTTGTTCACAAATAAAGTATGTTTGGACCGCATGTGACTTCTCAAGGTGTCGATTCGACTGTAGGTAGCAGGACAGTAAGGGCAAAATGAGCGTTGCGTCGTGTGCGAGTGGAAGTGGTGCCATCGATTAGTTACTTCCTTACCGCACGCTTTACATCGCCAGAGGAGGATATTTGATGTTGAGGGCTCGAACATGTCGATGTAGGAGAGAGTAGATCCTCCGTTCTGTTCTGTGGAAAAATATTTTAATTATTTTTTTGCAGTATACCACAGCAACTAGCAAATATTTTTAAACACGAATCCAAGTCAGTGTAGTTAAGTGAAACACGATTAGGTCTAGCAAAAAAAACTAGAAGTAATTTTAAATTTATATACACAAATTAATACGTATGCCCAGATGGGTACACCAGAGTGCGAAGTAAATGTTTAATTATTTTTAAATACTGACTAGGAATGGAAGTAGCATAATCTCACCTTGAAGATTAGTTAATTTATACTTAAATTATATAAATTTATGTCACAGAATAGTGTCCAAAATTATTAGACAGAACCCCTCGGGAACTCTTACCGGACCACTACCGGTTTTCATTCCCATCGTTGGCTCTCACCGTCAATAACAAGGGTAGTACGTATGATGTCTAGAGTTGTTCTATAAGTATTCCTCTCTTTTCCAAATGCTAAATAATTACTTATTTCCTTAAACAAAATAATAAAAAACTAAATTAAAAATTATCAGAGTAATATAATTAACTAAAAATGCCCTTAAAGTTGGTTTTACTTGTGTCCTAATTTTATATCTGCAATGACTTAATTTGTGGATTTTTTATGGCATTTTATTTTTTGTATTTAATTGTTATTACAGAATTTCATAAGTTTATCAACTGCTCTGGAAGAGAGTGAAGTGGATTGGAATTAAAAAAATAAACAGTACAGATTTAAAATTTCTCTCCTGATTGGATTAAACTGATAAAAATTTAAAACTTTGCCGTTTATTTAATAAATTTGCGGCCACCGTGCAATGGCCAGTTCTAGCAGAAACAAGTTTTCTGTAATTTTTATCTGTTGTTGCCTACAACACAGAATATCGAAATCTGCATCTGTGGAATTCTGTAAAGATATGTATGAAGTTGTCAGATGGCAACAGTGTGGCTACTAGCCACCAGTGGGAGTACATAATTTTGATATGAGGAAGGAGATTAAAGGGATGAGAGTGGCCTTAAAGCTTTCAAAACTTAAAATACAGGATGATTAATAAACGGTGACTAAAAATTAAACCTCATATTCTTTGGTGAATTTTAAGAGTAGTCTTTTCTGTAAAGTTTTTATCTAGACATTTCGTTAAAAAGATACAGGGTGTTAAACTTCAAAAAATATTTTTAATTTTTTTAAATCATTTAAAAACTAGTAAGTGAAATAATTTGAAATTGGGCACATGTATTTATGTAAACATTGTCCAAAATCTCAGGCCCTTTTCTAAAATTTAGATGTTTTACTGGCGGAGATAGAGAGTATCGATAGCATATTTTTCTAAATAAAATAATATGCCACTGCTTTACGGTAACAATCATGATATTTTCGAATTTGTCTTGCAGTTTTCTACCCTCTTATGTTTTTCGAAAACAACCTGTTTTTCGAGTAAAACTTAAAAAACTAACTGAAAACACTTAAATATATCATGACAAACACTAATCATTCAGTTATTTAATCGATAAAGAAATTAATAACATTAGTTATCAGTTTAATGATTGTATTTGAGGAAATGCTCAAAAATTCCTCCATTTCCACGAACACAGACACATCTTTTTAGTAATAGCCCGGGAGCCAGCAACCGTTTTGAGTTATTTATTTGGCAAAAGCTGAAAATTTTTCCTACGCTTTATTTGGTATCACTAGTAAGTAAATCGACCTCCAGCTCGCGTTGTTCCGGAGGGTATAGCTGCAGAAACCTTCCACACACGTAAAATAATGAAATAAAAAAAAACTAATACCGCAAGAGCTGAGACTTTGTCGACAAGTTAATTATGTTATAAACAAAAGAAAAAACGCAATCAGCTTACTTTAGAGTGGGGGATCATGCCTCAGTTTTTCACCTCAACAAGTCAAAAATATGCGCTAGGTAAACTGATTCTGAAAAAGCTGAAATTTGGTAAAGTAATAGTCATCTTAGTTATACGAAAAAAAATTGTCTGCTGAAGTTTTTGTGGTGTATAAATGCTCAGCTGACGAGTTGAAGGTGCAGCACATCACTATGCGCGCGAAAATATATTTTTAACTTTAACACCCTGTATCTTTTTAACGAAGTGTCCTAGATAAAAACTTTATACGAAAGACTCTCCTAAAATGCCCCAAAGAATGCGAGGTTTCATTTTTGGTCACCGTTTGTGAATCACCCTGTATATTAGTGTTATCGTTACTTGCCATTCGCGCAATTACTAACAAAAGCCGAAGAGAAGCAATACATTGCTGTTTAAGGGATTTTAAATTTACGTTTATATTTTTTATTAAATTTAAATTTTCAAAACTGCTTTTTAGTATTTCATTTTTCATTACTTACGCTTTTGTTCTTCTGTGGGCCAAGGGGTAGGCCAACTATTTTTTAGATGAGATATGACCACCCAGGTCTAGAAACCTTGGCCCAGATCCCTGTATGTTTGACAAAATGAAAGTAAAATTCTGGAAAAGAAACGTTATGGTTTTATAAATTACTTTATCTGCAGAAAATATATGTCAAGTAGGGAACAAAAAGGCGTTTTGAGTAAAGATTAAAAATTGCGGTGGAAAAAAATGCCTGTGAACTGTAAGGAGAATAAAAAAACACTTTTTAATAGACAATTTTTAATGCAACATAAATACAGAGTTAAAAATAAATAAAACTTAAAAACTTTGGAGTGCATACCCTGATTATGATTTTTCTTATATATTAAATTTTGATATTATACAATAGTTGAGGACCATATAAAACTAGACGACATAAATAAAATTACATTTAAAAGATAGTTTTTTTCCAAATATAGACTCTAGAAAATTACGTATATATATTTACAATATGCATTACAAAATTTTTACCCGAAATTTATAATTACATATACAAGAATACAATAAAATCGTTGTTTTACAATATTTAAAAAAAAAACATGTTAGATCTCACTCATCATTGTACATTATTATTCATGTAGATTATGTGGCCACTGAAGTTAATTTTCTCGTTTCTGGTAGAAATTAGTCTTTTATTTGACACACATTTCTTAAAAAATATAATAGATTAATATCTTGAGCATATTAATAGACAGCATACTGAAAATAATAAATTCCAATATAAAATATGTGTTATTAATAATCCACTCCGAATTAATGATCCAAAATCAGAATTACACTTTTTCAGATGTATTTCAAATTGCTCAACATATTTCAGAATGCATGAATTATATTTCAGAATGTTATTTATAATAACTGTTGAAATAATAACTGAAATACGTCTTCTGAAATCGAATTGACAAATTCTGACCATTTCCGAAATACATCTGAAGAAGGTAGATGTCGATTTGTTAGTTCAAGATATATTGAGAT